TGTTAGCTTTGATCCCTGGATCCTCCAGCCCGTGTGTCAAAGGGTCTTGAGGCTACTGTTGTTTTGGTTGTTTGTATACAAATAAAAGTTAATTGAGTAAGATTGTGAAATTCGATATGTATTCACTGCTTCCATTAGCGAGCGATCAATAAAAACGGTATTAACAGCATGAAGTACCCTGCCTTGGGCTTTGAGTGCCTAGTAATGGTGGAAAATGCTTCATAAATTCCAGTCCATTTACAAAGATATTGGTTGTATCATATAACCGACAATATCAAAATGACAGTGGAAGGGTAATTTTGTGCTGCTTTTGCACTCAGAACTGTCTTCTGTACTGCGTGGTGCAGTAGACTCTAGAAACCCCCATACATCAAAAAATTGTTAAATGCATGATTAGTGGGATTCAATAAATGTGGTACAAAAGTTAAACAGAAAATTTCATTGCATAACAATCATATTTAAAGTGAAATATAAATATTGTGTCAATAATGAGAATAAATTGTACTAATTTTGTCAATAATACTTTTGGAATGAAGGGGTGGAATGGTGGCCATAATCTGATATTTTGAGAACAACTTTTCACGACCTAATTTTTGGCAGAATTGATTTTGATACTATCTTAGTAGACTGTTGTTATCAGGCTACTAGATGCTATGGAGAATTCAGCTGTATGGCAAATCCTTTACCTGCACCTGGAGGATGATTTTCGCAATTCTGCTCTGGTTGCTCAAGAGAGTCCTCTAAATCTGATCAAGGGTAAGGCATAGATGGCGCCAGTGACCATCTTTCTCTTGGAAGGAGGCAGCTAGCAGACATGGCTAATCTTGCCCCATGGAGCAACTTACCCCAGTCTCTCCCTTCTTCTCCCAGGACTGCCTGGGGAATGTAACAATGCCCCAAAACAGAGTCCACTAAATCCAAAGGATCAACTGCCAGCATCCCAGTGCTCGACACCATGCGACACCCCCAGAGATCTTGGGTCCTGTCCATGACCTGAAGAACTCAGAGATGTTTTGGCAGCACAAAAAGGCCCGACACATTAGGGTTTTAATGTTTTGGCTGATGAAAATTTGCAGCACATAAAAAGATCATTAAAAGTGATGTTAACATGTTTAACTTTGCTAGAATAATTGAAAAAGGAGGATTGTAGGATTTTATTGTCAGCAATGGAGCAAAAGTGTATGAATGCCTATTACACAGTCACACATGATGTAATGGTGGCTTAACACACTGTCATGTGTGGAGCGTATGTTGCACCTCTTGGAGACAGGGCATGGGAAATTTCTCGCCTATGACATGAGAAAGATATTTCCTCTTCTTTGACTGACCCAAGGATGCTAGTTAGGGCTTCCAGGCCTGCGTTCCAGCTCCAGCGTGACGTCAGTGTCGCTCCTTGTGTAACATGCTTCAACTTAGCTGGTCTGGGTGTATGAAGTAATGTCTGTCAGGGCCTTCTATCCTGCAACAAAGCATTCACTGTCGGACCAGTGGTTGAAAGAAATGCTACTGGCCTGTCAAATAGATCAAGTAAGTTGAGAGATAAGATATGAAATATCAAACTCAAATATTTTGGTGTCTAGGTTACAGAAAGTCCAATGTCACTACGTCATCACCGGCTTGTATATAAAGCACATTTGAGCTTCATATTAACACTATTGGTAATAAAATAGTTTGGCTTTTGATTAAAGCCACAAAGTGTGGAATAGCTTTGCCTTTGAAGCCCCTCTGAGGTAATGTAACAGAACCTTCATGGCAAACAATGCAGGGAATTACTCTGAAACCCTGATGAGAACATTTCCAATTTTATGGCCTGAATTACAATATGAAGAGGGACAACCACACCCTGCTTGCATTACAAGGGTCTTGTGATTTCTTTTTCAACCATGGTGCATGCTGCATGGTGGCAAAAGTACTAGGTTTCACTAAACAGCTGGTATATCAAATATTCTTTGTTTGAAATTGCCAGCCACTCTGCCCAAGTACATTTTAGTACTGATATTTTCTAATTCACTTTAAAGCACATCTGAGCAAATATCTTAGAGCTGCACATCCATGATGTGAATCTACACATTCCACAACATCCCAAAGTTTCTCTGTTGGAATTTTACAGTGAAGATGACTTGAGTTCAGTGAACTCATTGTCATGTTCAAGCAACCAGTTTGAGCTCTGGTGCATTATCCTGGAAGCAGCCATCAGAAGATGGTAGTGTCTGGGATTTAACTGATGCTAGTACTAAGAGAATATATCCTCCACCTCATTACACATCACTCTGAACTCTTGATAAAAGGCAAAGTCGATCCATGTCCATACATGAATTCTGCCCTGCCATCCAAATGTTGCAGAAGAAACTGAGACTACTTAGACCAGGCAATATTTTTTCCAATCTCCTGTTGTCCAATTTTAGTTAGGCAGTGTGAATTGTAACCTCAGTTTCCTGTTCTTAGCTGACCAAAGTGCCGCCCGGTGTGGTTTCCTGCTGTTTTTCTGCGAGATAGGAAATAACTGGGTGAAATAACTTTTCTGGCATCAACAGAAAAGTTATTTCATCAACAAGTCATTTCACCCAGAGAAATACCTCTCACTGGTATTTTCTCTTTTTCAGAGCACTCTCTGAAAATGTTAAATATGGTTGTATTTGAAATTACCAGCAGATCAACAGTTTCTGAAATACTCTGACCGTCCCGTCTGGCCACATTTAAAGTCACTTAAATCACCTTTCTTTGCCATTGCTCAATTTTAACTTCAGCAGGTGGTCTTAAACACATCTACATGCCCGTTCGATACAGTGCTTTCAGTTCGGTACGCATATGTATCGAACAATACAAATTTTTTAATTTATTTTATCAACTTTTCTTCTGACGATGCTGTCTGTGTTGAGCGCTCAGTGGATCTGCGTTTGACTACTCCGCCTAGGCTGCAATGTCGAGCGCAGATCCACTGAGCGCAGTGCAAGCTAGCAAGACAGAAGCTAAGCTCGTTGCAACATGGCAAATTGAACCTCCCCCACCCTCATTCAGATCTGGCCTTTGGAACTATTTTGGTTTTCATGTGACGTATGACCCTGAAGGTAAGCGCGTCATGGACTAAAGTAAAACAGTATGTCGGATGTGGCACGCAATGCTCAATTACATTGGTGGGAACTAGTGTGTTAGCGCAGTTAGCTCGTTAACGTGTTGACGCTGTCCAGCCCCACACACGGGGCAATCCGCGGTAGCTCGTTAACGGAGATTTGCCGTGTTGTGGCGTTA